GTAATTATTCTTGGCCGACTTCTGAACCCCTCCAAAAAGTTAAGCGTTTAGTCTCCTTATTATGGTTCATCTAGAAACCCAAAAAGTTAAAGTCCTAAGAGCCAACCAGAAGAACACCAAGTAATTCTGTGGGGCATCGGGGTTTATTGTTTTTCCTAGGGCTTCGAGTTTGTCCGGTCAGGCCTCTGGTCCCACGCTGGTTTCGGATCTAGGGTTTAGGGTGTAGGGTCTAGGGGTTTAGGGTTTAGGGTTTGGGGTTCGGGTTTCGGGTGTAGGCGTTCGGGCCGGTTAGGGTTTTTTGAAGGCTGAGCTTTCCCTTTTTCAGGGGCTGTTGCTAAAATAAAGGGAAAAATTGACCGATAGGACCTGGGCCGAAGACGGTTTACAGCGAATCCTAGGAAGTTGGAACATGGGTTTAGGAGGATTAGTGCTAGGATCCCTTCTGCTCTATCTCCAGGGCATTCAAATAACATGCTCCAGCTTTCTGGCATCTACTATAGGGCCTGGGGGGTGTGAAAAAATAGGCACAGGTAGCATAGCAGCAAGATTGTGGTGGGAAAAGCTTCACAGATGCATGAAACTGCACAGGAAAAGGACATCTCCTGCGCAGCTCTCTCTCGAAACAGATCGTCACCCTGCATAAACATCACCTGCAGCGGGCTTAGCTCCAACATTGGTTCTTAGTACCGAAACGCTAAATCTGAACCGCAAGCCCCAAATCGTCAACATTGACGTCTGAACCCCAAACTTCAAACCTTAAAGCTCTTACAATGAAACACAAGGGCAATGGTTGTGGGACAGGGACAATGACCAACAGCTTTCGGAATCCTGGCTGGGATTTTGTTTGGGTTCCTTTACAGGGATCTATACTTGGAGGTTCATGGGTAGTTAGAAGTGAGGTTATAAGTAAGGTAACTATAGTTATAACGCATATTACAGGACTTGTAACCCCACTTATAACTACCCATGAACCTCCAAGTAGGGGTCCTAATGGGGTTTAGGGTTTAGGGCTTATAGAGTCAATCGGGCTTATGGACTGTGCAGATTTGGATTCAGGGTTTGCGGCTTGCGCCTTAGGCGACTGGCGGCGAATGGTTCCAATGTGTAGTGCGTAAGATATGTTAGTGACTTTTTAGTGGGTTCCGTTCCTGTCGGCATCCTACACCCGACAACCCTCAAAACGGGCTTCCTAAGCCTAAACCCTAAACCCTAATCCTAAACTCAGAAGAGGCGGCATTGGGGAGTTCTCCAACTTTGGATCCATTTTTGATCCCTTGAAGACAACGTCCAAAGGGGCCCTCATGTAACAGGGCCACCTTACCATCTAGGCCAAGGTTTAGGGTTTAGGGAACCTTCCACAACGCTCTCTATCAACTCATGCCCCCCCCCCCCCTTTGTCTGAAACCCTATACCCTAAACACTAAACACTATATAACCCCACGCTCGCTCGGAGGGGTTATCGACAGGCCGGATCCAGGATATCATGGTTTAGGAGTTCAGGGTTTCAAGGATTAGGATTTCAGGGTTTCAAGGTTTAGGATTTCAGGGTTTCAAGGTTTAGGATTTCGGGGTTTCAAGGTTTAGGATTTCAAGGTTTCAAGGTCTAGGAAGTCAGGATGAAGGATGTAGGGTTTCTGAGTTTCAAGGCTTTCGGTTGCGAGGCTTCCGAGGCTTAGGCTTCCAGGGCTTAGGATTCATATAGTATGGTCATTTTTGAATCCCC